ATCCCGAGGGAAATTCAAGCATCCAGTAGCATACAAATACAAACATACATTAAACATTAAACTAAACTAACTAACTAACTAAAATTAAAAACCCTGACCATAAGAACAGAATCAAAAATAAGATAAAAGATAAGATATAAAGTATTATGTATGTAACATTATTATTATTATTATTATTATGTAATGTTATCATCATTGATAAAAATAAAAAATATTCCGGATCCAGGATCTCCAGCCTTCCCAACTCGTGAAACACTGCAGCTTGGTCGGTGGCCCTTCAAAATGTGACGCTGTAGGTGCCCATTAGTGTCATCTGTGGACCTGCAGGGCTCCATCCTTAAGCGGTATTTATTATAGATGTAGTATAAAGAGCCAGAAAGTCTGCATATGGAGGTGGTGGGGTGCATGGATGGCTCAAACAAACACAGGACTTTAACCCAGGAGGTGGCTGTTGACTGTTAGAAACCAATGGTAAAAGTTGATATCTTTTAAGTTATTTGTGTTACATAAGGAATGTAACTTACTGTTGCCTAGTCATTATTGCTAATTTGATTGCGGACCCCTTCTTGTCCAGAAATGACACTAAAGGATACCTACATCTTCATATTTTGAAGCGCAGGGCCACCAACCAAGCGTCAGTAATGAGTTGGGAGAAAGAACTTGCTGGCCTCTCTGTATAATGAGGAACTTCTATATGAGGTCGGGCTGTTATGGTGCATTAGCTTCCTGTAACAATTCATGTCCTCATTGGGGACACAGTCACTCATTAACCTTCAATAACAAATGAATCTGTGCAGGAATGTGTACAAAGCGCTGGCTCTTTGGCACACAATAGCGCAGTACGCAGTGGCGTTTCACCACAGAGACAAACATGTGGCGGACATTTATTACAGCCCCAAACTTATCGTTTGGATGGTTTCAAACGCTGTAAACCTTAAAATTGATATTTTATTTGGAGCCTTGCAGTCAAGCAATAGGTTTAAGAGCCGCTTGGCTTTCCGTACGAGGTAAAAATAAAAACACTTGATTCCTTCCATCAGTGAGTGTATTGATTGATTGATTAAAGCTTTCCAGCAGACTAATCTGAGCATGAAATGAACACTTGTGACCACTTCCCCAAAATGTGATAATATATGGCGAATATGACCTCAATATGTTAATGACAAATCAGGAAAACTGTCTCCTCCATCATGTCAGCAAACATTTTGTAATCAACTCAGTCAGTTTTACAACAGCCGTGTAGATTTAGGAGATCTTGATGTGTTTTTATTTGTCTGAAGTCAATGTTGTGGCTGTAATCCGAGGTAGATTATGGTATCTGCAGATGGAGTTCAGATGCACACGCTAAATCATCTGTAGTCCCGTTTAATCCTCCTGTACATGCTGAATATTCATCAATGTTTTCATCCAATGCCAACAAAAGCCTTTGTTGGTGCACACTATAAATATTACAAGCAAACAGCCCCCATTAAATTTCTCAGTCTTTCTTTTTTTGGTTTGAGAATCCCATTCTGGTGTTAAATATAGACAAATAGCGAGGAGCGGCGGTATGAGCCGTTGGTCCGGGCCCTTTTGTTGGCGCGTAATGAGGGCAGAGCTATCGGAGCAGCGCCGCTCAGATTGAGGACAGAAGTTGAACGAAGAGCAAGTGCAGTATAATCATATCTATTTCTTGTTAAATGGAAGCCATTATGTTTGACCTCCACTTGACGCTAATCTCTGTCACAAACCAAAAAGTTTTAATTTCCATGTGCGTTTATGCACACCAGGCTCCAAATGAGAAAAACCAATAGAGTATAATGAAAGATAATTTAAGAACAAAAAAAAAACGAGAGAGACTTACAATTCCCTAAACAAACGGGAGGATTTGAAGAGAGGCGGACGGTGAAATGGAGAGAATGACTTCTCTTTTTCTATTTCCGGTAAGTCGGGGGAAGAGGGGGAGGGGGGTAATTGTGATAGCGAGTTTCAAAGTCACTCACTTCACAAAGGCAAAGCGGATTATAGAAGGCTGAACTTTTTCTTGTCGGAGCTCTCCTTTCCTGCAGATGCTGTCGGACAAAAAAAAAAAGCAGTCATCGCAGTGAATCAGTGCTGGAATTCCCTGCTGATGAGCACGGGTGGAAATAAAACCGCAGGTATGTGTGGACTGCCTGTGTGAAGGTTGATTATGGGCTCTTCAGATGTGGGTGAATGAGTGACGGGCCTTATCCAAAGAAAGAAGGACAGGACGGGAGTGCAAATTATGTTAAACTGTCATTCTTTGGTTCTTAAAGGCCCTTCTTCTTACTCTGAGCGGTGGGGTCCTGTGTCCTGTTTCTTAATTCGTGTTTCCCTGGTTTGGACTGGTTTGAAGCGTGCCGGGCTCATGGTGTATTCACATGCTCCTTGGATGGTCCCATTTCCCGAGTTGGAAGTCTTTCTTCTGACTGAGTGTGTTCATGAGACATTTAAATGGTAAATGGACTGTACTTATGTAGCGCCTTTGTAGTCTTTCGACCACTCGATGCGCTGTCCACTACATGCCACACTCAGCCCATTCACACATATTCATGTAGGGTCAGCTGTAGTTTACAGTGTATAAACAAAAGAGTGTTTAGCATGCAACATTTGCGCAAATTAAGAGAAACATAACTACCTAATATACGCTTTCATTGACAGTGTCTAATGTATAACATTTATCAAACAGAAAGAGGAGAAACATTGTAATTGTGTTCTTTCTCCCCAAAATTCAGACTAACGACGATTAAAATTCAGTTTTCTTTGTTGAAATCAAAGTAATGTATTATTTCCAACATTTCCATCTTCCAAACTAGTTTTCTCCATGATTACAAAAATGAATCCAAGGATGTGATTGGATTGTGAGATTGAGTAGGGGGGTGACAACAAAAATAAGGTTGTAAGTAATAGTTTTTGGGGAGGTAATTGTAATCTTATTACTGAAGTTTATTAGTAACTAGTTACACAACTAGTTAATGGGGAAACTTATATGATTACGTAATATTATTATTAGTAATGAGTTACTGCCCAACACTGGTCTTGATAGATATACTTTCTTGGTCTTTGTTTTTATGTATTTCTTTGTTTTTATTGGGTCATTGGTTCGTTATTCTGCTTACTGTGTGTTTTTTTTGTTGACGTTTATTTTTGTTCTTCCGATTAGCTTAGTATTCATTTTTCATTTTTGGTTATTGTTTGTTTTTTTCTCCTTAAGCGAAGGGAGGTCTGTTGTGTAAGCCTGTGGCTTCTTGATGTCTCCTGACATCTCCTTCCTGTTGAAAAAGTTCAAAGCAAGTATTAACACAAAAAAGTTTAATTTCCACAGTAAAATTCTTAAAAATTAATCTGCTCCTTCTACCTCATTAAAAATCCTAGAATCTATGAATATTAAAATCGTGTTCATTTCTAAAGTTTTCTTTCTGGTCACAAGATGTCTTAAACTTTGTAAAGTCCATTCTCAGTGAATGTGCACTGGTGGATCACACTGTAGAAGTTGCATAAGATATATACATGCCCACGCACACACAACATCAGTGAGAGGCGACCACAGCAGCAGTTGTAGCCCCCAGTGCTGATATTATCTGTAGCTCATTCCCACCCATCCTCCCCCAGTCCCCAACTTAGAAAAAAACAGACACATACACACATTCTCCACACACTCTCTCCACTGACCCTGTGTGTTCCCTGCTGCCCTGACTTGCCCCGGTCTGGACTGGCTCCAGTCAGCGTGCCCTTGGGGGGGACAGAATGTGGGAGGGCAGGGGGTTCGGGGAGGAGCAGAGCCACCCAGGAGGGAGGCTGCTTAGTGTCACAGTGATCTCTCTCACACACACATTTATACACACGTCAGTGATAAGGGCTGACTTGTCTAAATGGTGTTGTCCAGACAAGAGGGGATGGCAGCAGTTAGTTTCTGTTTTTATTGGATATTGTAGTTCAGTTTGAATTGAGTAACTTTCCTCTGGGCTATATTTGGATATTTGCTTTCATTCAGATAAGAGTTTCAGAGGATGTGTATTCATAGATGATGTGCAGTCAGCAAAAAAAGACATTAACCAAAAAGAATTGCCACTTTGGATATACAATGGATCTCTTTCTTTCTTTTTTAATATGACTGTATCCTTATTTGTACACTGGGTCATTGTTTAGAGTTTTTTCAAGATTCTTACTAGAATTATTCTCATGTTACTTTTCTTTCATGGTGCAAGAGGACTCTGTCTGGCTCATGTTAGTCCTCCAGTGAAAAGGGCCCTCAAAGACCATGGACACTGAAAAACCCTGTTCACCAGTTATTTGGAGACTGGTTGTGTTAGGGGGTTTCATTGCCTGGATTTGTGTATGACGTTAACATGTCCAGTTCAGTTCCAACATTGTAAAAGAAAAGAAAAAAGTTGAGAAA